GAGTGAGCAAGCTCAGATCTGCTGCCCACAGGAGGGAGGATTCTCACAGCAGGGATAGGTTTGCTTTAACGTCATTTAAAGAAAACAGTTGCAACATTCTTTGCCACTGGCATTTGTGACTGCAAGTCGTCGTCGTCTCACATGTGCACACACAGTCACAGGTCGATCCCAGACACCACAGAAGTACTCCCCAAACACCACCCACCAGCTAGCGTGCCAGGACCGGGGCACACGGAGCAGGAGTCCACCCCAGAGCCAAGGCCTGGAGGTACGCACCAGACCCCAAACACCAGCTGGTGCTCCAGGTGCCATGCCCAGAGGCCTTCCTCAGAGGCACCGTGTGCACCCATGCCAGGGACAGGCAAAGTAACTGGTGCGCTGGGGCCCTGGATGTTGGCAGAGTCAGGCTGGGGTCAGCAGCACAGGGGTGGCATGAGGAGCAGCCTTTCTGCCCTCTCCTGCTGTCATGAGCTCTCCTTCCAATCGAGCCCTTACCTCCTACTGTGCCTCCCATCGCCCTGCCCAATGCTGAGATCTTAGGAGCAGTAGCTGCCCCTCAGTCCCTGCCTGCCGCCCTCTGGAGGCCACATCTGGATAGCAGTAGGGAGGTGGAAAAGAGACACCGAGTCCCTGTTGAGAGTACAGGTAGCTGAGGGGTTGTTTGACGGCCACGGGGGACATTTCCAGTCTTGCTTCTGTTGGAGCGTATCAACTGTGGCAGTTCAGAGTGTTTGTTGTTACCTTGGTGTCACCAAACAGGAGGCTGCAGCCTGAGGCCAGCAGGGGTAGGTGGCAGGAAATTCTTGTTGAATGAATGTGTGAAGTCTTGGGCTGAGGCGTAGCCCAGGGATGTCTGCCTAGTGACTCCTCTACCTCTAGAATCTGTGCCCAAATCCCCGATGGCATTTCCTCTGCAGTCTATTCCTGGGCCCCGAGCCAGCTAGTGCCCTTGGCCAGACCAGGGAGGAAAGAAGCTGTGAATGTCCTGGGCCTTGTGGGGGCGCTCGTGTGTGTGTGTGTGTGTGTGAGTGTGTGTGTGTGTGTGTGTGTGTGTGCGCGCGCGCGGTGGTAAAACTATCGCACCCTGGATTGGTCTCCACCGATGGTGAGATAGTTGTAAATGGTGGGAGACCCCTAACTTTGGATGAGGAGCTTTGTACTGGGCTTTACCATGGCCCAGCACTAGGTCTGCTGTGCCAGCACAGGCCAATGTCTCAGCACCAGCCTAGTGTGGACACGGGGCTCTGGGCATCCTGCCTAGGCTCAGCTTGTGAAGCAAGGGACTCATCTAAGCCCTAGACCAGGGAGGCTGGGATCAGCCTTCAGCCGCATTCCCTGTGGCCCTTTCCCATCTGCAGCAGGTTCATGCCACACGTCCCTGTCCTCACCCACACTCAGGTCAGAAGGACTTGAAATCCTCCCCCAACTCCTCCTTGAGCTTCATTAGTCTAACTTCAGGAGAGGGAGGGGTTGGCAATGACCTTTCATCTCTGGGCTCTTGTTTTGTTTTGTTTTGTTTTGTTTTGTTTCAGACAGGGTCTAGTTGTGTAGTCCAAACTGGCCTTGAACTCACTGTGTAGCCTAACCTGGCCTTGAATTTGGGACAATCCTCCTGCCTCAGCTTCCCTAGTGCTCAGATTATTGGCATGTGCCACTATGTCTGCTCTTTTTTTTTTTTTTCTTTTTAAGACAGGGTCTCACTGTGCAGTTCAGGCTGGCTTTGAGCTCACTTTATAGCCCAGGGTGGTCTCAAACTCGCAACGATCCTCCTGCCTCAGCCTCCCGAGTGCTGGATTACAGGCGTGTGCCACCACATCCGGCTATGTCTGCTCTTGACTGCTGGGTTCTCAATACCCCCACTGGATTGGCACCCTTATGAGGAGATCGAGCCCCATTCTTGGAACTCACTGGTCGCCTAGACCATGATAACCTGGGCCATTCCAATCTGTTCTTTTTCACCTGACCCCTGGGGCAGACAGGGCTTCCTCCCCTACGTAAGGTGCTACCCACTGCCCTGCTCCCATCCCTGCCAGTTCTTGAGCCCAGCACACTTTCTGCGTTACTTCTCTGGGTGCTTCTAATGCACTGCTGGGTCCTGATAAGGTCAGAGGGGATCTAAGAACAGTTGCTTGTGCATGAAACCCTGGGTACACACGTGTGTGGCACACAGCCAGAGAGGACAGATGGCTATCTAGGTTACTTGTTTTTTATTTTTTAAATTTTGAGATGGGGTCTCATAAATTACTAAGTTGCCCAGGCTGGGCTTGAATTTGCAGTCATTCTGCCTCAGTGTCCCAGAGCATGGGGATTACGAGCATGTACCACCATACCAGGCTCCATCTGGGGCTTTAAGACTTTACTGGGACCCCAGCCCTGCAAAGGCCCACACAATCCAATAGGGGGGACTTGTTGGAATCCACTGTGGCAGGCAGCTTGGCAGAGGCTCAAATCTACACCATATGCAGCTCTCTAGGATCCCTTCTTGAAGTCTTCTGCAGGGAGAAGGGTGTGAATAAGCCAGTCCCACCCTCATTCCTTCTACTAAAAGTACCAGTTTGCTGGGTGCACAGGCCCGTGCCTATAATCCCAGCACTGAGGGAGGCTGAGGCAGGAGGACTGCAAGTTCAAGTCCTGCCTTGCCAATGCCCTTGTGACTGTCACTCTTTGTGACTTCTGGGCAAGAGCCCCCAAGGTCTTCCCTCCCTCTCCTGCCCCCATCCTACCTGGTTCACTTCAAATGTGGTGTCAACGACCTCATCAATGACCCGAGCTCCGGAGGAGAACTTCTGCCGGTGGTGCTCCAACCTAGCCACCAGCTTCAGGAACTGGGACTGCAACTCCCACTGCCTGTGAGGGGTGGAGTGCTGTCTTGGTTACTTTTTTCTCGCTGCTGGGACAAAATACCTGACACCCAAAATTAAGGAAGGAAAGGTTTATTTCGCTTACAGTTTGTGAGGTTTCAGTCTGTACTTGGCAGATTATAAGGCAGAGTGGCACATGGCAGAGAGCTACAGCTCATGGTGGCAGAACACAGCAAAGCAACAAGAACACACCAGGGCGGAATGGGGGAGGAAGGGCCTCAAGCACTCTTTTCCTCTCCCTTATATATGCAAACTATCCACCCCAGGGCGGGTGCAGCTCTCACACCCACAATCAAACTCTAAAAGCCTGCCCCATGGCCGCATGAGGCTTTGGGGGGACATACAGACATAAACCATAGCAAGTGCAGAGGCAAGGACTCCATCCGCCCCTTCCCGGCCGCCCACCACACCCAGACCTCCCGCCTTAGACTTGAGGCCTCCCCTCCCTCGTCTCCTCACTTCTCAGTCATTGTCCCGGATTTCTTCATGAGCTCCATGGTATCCTCAGGCTTTACCTCCTTGGGCTCCTCGGGCTCTAGATGGAGAAAAAAGAGGATGAGGATGGGGCCAGAAGATGCCTGGATTTGGAGGTGGGGGAGGAACTCTGCCATCATGGAGGCATACAGAGAGGGTTTAAGGGGTTTCCTTTCATCCAGGATGCCCCCAAAAGGGTGCTTCTTAAGGCATAGAACATGCAGTGGTTTTGTTTGTTTATTTTTCTGTCCAGCCTTCATTATCTCTTTTTATTTATTCATTATGGTTGTTATTATTTGATGAGGTGCTGTGGATAGAACTGAAGAATTTCCACACACTAGGCAAGAGCTCTACCACTGAGCCATACCCCACCCTCATTCCCTCTTCTAGTAAAAGTACCAGTTTGCTGGGTGCACAGGCCTGTGCCTATAATCTCAGCACTGAGGGAGGCTGAGGCAGGAGGATTGCAAGTTCAAGTCCCATCTGGCCAATGTAGTAAGATCCTTTCTAGAAAGGAAGGAAGGAAGGAAGAGAGGGAGGGAGGGAGGGAAAGAAGGAGGGAAGACAGGAAGGCTGGGGATATAGGTCAGTAGTAGCAGTAGAGCACTCCTGGGTTCCCCAGTACCAAAAACAAAACAAAACAATGACAACAAAAAACATCAAAAAATGTGTCTCAGTTTTCCTGAGGAACTGACCCCACCAGTGTTCAGTTCATGTTGTTTAGCTGGGGTCGGTCCTTCCCCGGGGTCCCAGGATACATGACTGTGGACTAGCCAATCACAGCCTACAGTGATTTGTTCAAAACTAAGTAAGTAACCTCATCCGAACAGAGGCGGCTCATCTCTGGGAGTTTGTTGGGACAGCTGGGAGAAGAGGAATGCTTTCTCCTGGGAGACCTACAGATGGCTAGGACCTGGGACTACAGGTGCAGGCGATCATTTTGGGCCACAGGGGAAGAATTACTCTAGCTACAAAACCACTCAGAGGACTACAGAGCACAGATACAGAAGACACCAAATCCTGACAGTTGTTTGAGTCCTGGATCCAGCCATTCCTGAAAGCCCATACACCTCCAATTTGCTAAGTAATTGGGGCCAATGAATTTTTTCTGCTCCTTTAACTGTTGTGTACTGTTCTTGATGGAATGTGTCCATGACGGTCCCCTGCTGATGATCTTAGGAGTGGGATTCTGGAACTCAGATTCTAAAGTCCTGGGGATCTTTAGGTCAAAAGCAAACCATTTGGCTCAAAATCAGCGCATCTAAAGAGTCATGTGTGAAAATGACCACATATCCAGGAAACTTCATTCTTGCAGACTCAGTCTGTGTCAAATGACTCTGGACAAGTGTGTGTAACCTTGACAAAACCGCAAAGGCAGTCAAAACCATCCTGTGAAAGATAAGCCATAAGTAATAAATTACTGACAGAAATGGTTGAATGAATCAATTTGAAAAACCCATAATTTGGCTAATTGGTTGTTTTGCAGGTGGGTCTTTCAAGAATTAACGATCAATTTATTGGCTTTTTGGGGGATTGTTTTGGGCTCCTTTGAATCAAAGTTCTGAACGCCAGTATCCCAGATTCCAGAGCTCCAAGACAGCCTGGCAGCCTGTGTCTAGCCACAGAAGGAGGCTGGCGGAAAGATGGGGGCAGGACCAGTACCTATTTGGTTGAGCTCTGTCAGGGAGTCATCTAGCAGCTTCTCATGAATCCAGGCGGTCATCTGGGGGAGAAGAAGCCTCAGTCCTGCCTGAGTCCCCTGCCCCCATCGCCGGGGCACCCTGGGCCCCTTGTTTCCCGTCCACCCCACTTGATACCTCCTGCTTCACTTTCTCTTCATCTCTGAGCAGGGCCATCTGGAAGTTGTCCACCAGGACAGCGGTCAGCAGGCTGGGTGAGGGGACAGTAGGGTGCCCTTAAGGAGGGGTGGGAGGAGAGGCCCCAGCCCCCCTTGAGTTCGGCGTGGCAGGACAGGGTTCCCCGGGGCTGGATGGGGGAACAGCGGTTGAGGCCGGCAGCAGAGGAGGGTCCTCACTTGAGGAAGATGATGTTTTGGATGAAGATGTAAATCATGAGAATGGGGATGATGTACCAGGCACCTGGGGGAGGGCGGAGAAGTGATCAGCCAGGCAGCTCCCGCCCACCCTGCCCCACCCCTGCCCCACGTCACAGACAGGGTCTCTGAGCCCCTGCCCTCGGCCCACCCTGGGCACGGCTGTCCATGTAGATGAGGGACCAGTCATCCAGGGTGAGCACGGTGAAGAGGGTGAACATGGTGGTGAAGAAGTTCTCGAAGCGCCAGGGATCCGATCTTCGGAACAGCGTCAGGATCATAGAGAAGAACACTAGCCGTTCAGGGACAAAACGGGCTCCAGTCCCCTGACCTTGTGCCCCTCTTCCCAGGCCCGTCCCTGCCCACCCCTGCCCTGTTCCAGCCCCATGGCACAGGATACAGAGGCAGGAAAATATGAGGATGAAGATAGTTATGATGGACTGCAAGGACCCCACCAGGGTCCCTGTTACTTCTTTGAGGCTGGTCAGGATTCTGTGGGTAGAGGTAGAGGGGACCAAATCAGGAAGGGCTGGGTAAGGTTCTGTGTCCAGCAGGCAGAGCTGCTGCTGGGGAATATGGTGTCCTTGATTTGCTGGGTGACTTGGGTGAGTCCCGGCACTTCTCTGGAACATAAAGAGATGGATCTCGACAAGAGATCCCAGAAGGGCTGGGATTAGGCTGCAGCCACCCCTCCCCTCCCTCTCGAGCGGGTCCCAGTGGTTTGTTTCCTCAGGAATCCGGGCCTGTATCCCCTCTTCCTTTGGCCTCCCCACACCAGAACAAACAGCCAGGACCACGCAGACCTGAGCCTCCGCACGATCCGGATTGCCCTCAGAGCCCGCATGATCTTTAAGACCTTGAGAATCCGAAAGAGGCTGTGGTTGTAGAAGGAGTAGAGGGAGTTGACTTGCATGAGCGCGAAGTCCAGCACGGCCATGATCATGACGAAGAAGTCTGAGGGTACAGGGTGACTAAGTGGGGACAGCACTGCTGGGCCCTGGGCCCTGACCCACAGGCTCCCAGCACCAACACTCAATCCTCGCCCCGCTACCATCCTCATCTTCCCCCAGACAGTTCAGTGCAACCCACCGCAACCCCATTTCCACCCACCCAGATTGTTCCAGGGATCATAAAAATACTCCAGGCCCAGGGAAATGATCTTGAGCAGGGCTTCTATCATGTAGATGCTGAGGAAGATGCAGTCAAAAGCCATGAAGTACCACTCTGTGGGGACACCAGGGACTGCTCAGGACCACAGCCAACCTCCCAGCTCCCTCCCTCTGCCCCTCACAGTGAGACCTTGCACAGTCCCAAATACCTAGCCTCTCCCGGTTCAGCCCCAAATGGCTGTGTGACTCAGCTGCTCTGACCTCAGCTTTCTTGTCTGTGAAATGGGTGTAATAACAGTACATTTGATAAAGTGAACTTTAAATATATTGAAAGCCTTTTACTTGGGTGATCCTGGCTTAGCACAGAGCCTGGGACAATAAGTACGTGGCGAATTCTTTCCTTCATCCTGACCCACTGTATTTTAACACCTAATTTCTCTACTCTCACCCCTCCCCACCCTCCTTCTCTGAGTTCCCTGACCCTTGTCACAAACCGAGAGTTCTTGCTACCTGCTCTCCACCTTCAGCAGCATATTTAGAGCTGATGCGCCGCCTGGTGGCTATAGTTGTGAACAGCACAGCCTCCAGTCGGGAGGTCGGGGCGGGCCTGCTGACCTAGCAGTACCTTTCAGCAGCTAATTTCTACTGACACTGCTGGCAATGGCATCAACTTCCAAGAGTGAAGATCAAGTGAACCAAGTTATATAAATCTACTGCTATGGGATCAGGACATAGGAGGCCCTGGAGCCACATCAGGGGCCCCTGGCTCTTACCACCCCTGATCTTGACTTCTGCAAAGGTCTGGGCCATAAGCATGAAGATGTTGAGGAAGACGACGAGAAAGATGAAGGTTTCAAAGACCGAGGACTGTGTCAGATTCCTGATAATTGTCCAGGGACGCCAAAGGAGGGTTTTTAATCTTTCACAAAACCGCTGGAAGATGTTCATAGTGTACTTCTTGTGGGTCCGCTGGCCTCGGGCCTCTGTAAGGTGGCCAGAAAGTCACGTCTGTTCATCAGGAAATTGGGGGACCTCAGGTACCCTCAAAGTCTGGATTGGAGCTCACTGCCAGCCCTGCCTGCTGTCCACTCTCTAATGTGCCTCTGTACTAGTGCTGGTCTTGGGGCCAGTCCTGACCTTCCACACCAGGGGCCAATCTGTTTAAGATCTGGAACTGGCTTGAGTGGATCATGAGAGCTCCTTCCCCTACATCTCCAAGTCCATTTTGTTCATATGGCAACTTATTTATGGAAAACTCAACCCTCCTCGCTGCTCCATCCTCATGGCGCCCCCTCGCTTTCCCTGTAAGATCCTGCTGAACTTCCTCCCACCTGGCCGCTCTTTCTGTGCCCATCCAATAAGACATTCACTCTGCCCTGCTTGTCATGAGATGGCTGCCATGTTTACTGAACTCCTAGGGGCCAACTCTGGGAGATTGTTAGCTAACAGCCAAGGTGCCTCCCTGCCCTCAAATAAGGCCCTCATTCAGGCGCTAGTTCGCATCTCTGTCCTCAGCAGCTCACATTTTAGTGGGGGAAATGTGCACACAGAATCCACAAAGGCAAATATTCTGACATGGAAGATGACAATCACTAGATGGTTCGTCATTGATTAAGTGACATCTCCCTGACTTGCAGCCCCTTGAGAACAAGGATTGTGCTGGGGTTTGCTTGTACTGTCAGGGCTCAGGCAGGCCAGGGCACCCGTGTTTGACAAGAACCTCAATGTTTGAGAGGTGAACAAGAGTGAAGAACAGAGTAAGAGTGAAGCAAGAGGTGGCTGAGTGAGGAAACATCTCATGGTGCACAGGGCACATAATTCAGAAAGTAAAGGATAGGATGAGGGACAGTTAGGAGAGTGGAGCTGATAGAACGTACTCCTGGCAGCTGGGCCAGGCCTCCAGATCTGTAGGAGATTATGCAGAGCTTGGGCTGGATCTGCATGGATGTGGGCTGGGCAGTGGGAGTTGGGCTTTGGGAACTCAGAAAAGACTCACTTTTTTGCCTCTGATATTGCTCATCTTCAGACCAGCTTTTTGAGTCTTTGGAGGAGGAGTCCTGAGGATGAATTTTGTCGGAGGCCTGAGAGGCACGTGAGTAAACTGTGGTGTGGGACTGAATCACACCATGGGGCAAGCTCTTTGTAGATTCTAGATGAGCAGCAGAACCGACGATGCTGTGTGGCTTGTGTGGCTCAAAGAGATGAGAGCCGCTTGTGTGGTAGTCCTTGTAGGAATCTCTGTGGAGGTGATCGTATTGAGCTGAACTGTGGTGATACTCCAGATGGTGGTGCTCCCTGTGGTGGTGGTGCTCTCCATGGTGGTGGTGGTGATCTCTGTGGTGCGGCCCCACATGGTACTGCTCACCGTGGTGATAATCTCTGTGGTGGTGGTGCTCACCGTGGTGTGGCTCAGCATGGTGCTGCTCTCCATGGTGGTGATCTCTGTGGTGGTAGTGCTCGTCATGGTGGTCCTCACTAGGGTGGTGACCGCCATGGTAATATTCTCTGTGGAAGTGAGGTGAGCCGTGGTGGTAGGACTCCCCAGAGGGATGGCTGAGAATGCTGTCTTGATGATGAGGATACTTTCTGTGGTGATGGTAGTCATGAGGATGGAGCTTGTTGTATTGGTGGGGTTCACGATGCTGGGACCCCCTTTGGTGGTAGTCTTCACTGTGATGGTAGGGGTCACCATAGCGGTAGGAATCTTCACGGTGGTAAGAAGGACTTTTGCTGTGGAACTCACCAGGGTGGCCATACTCACCGTGGTGTGATGCACCAGGTAAATTTTGTCTACTAGAGTAGGAAGTCTCACTGTGTTGGTAGGACATACCAGAGGTTTGGGGGTGTGGATGCCCACCATAGTAGTGATGCCTACCATGGTGGTGTGGCCCACCATGGTGGTCTGATTCAGGGTGGTGGTGGGGCCCACCATGGTGGTCTGATTCAGCATGGTGGTAGGGCCCACCATGGTGGGGCCCACCATGGTGGTCTGACTCAGTGTG